TTAAATGATACTATTTTACTTAAATGTCTGGCGTATTCATCAATAATATTAGTAAATTTTGGTCTTGTAAATAGAAACAATATCGCTTTTTGGTGAATGCTGGTAAAACAGTTGGCCCCTTACCAAAAAACGGCAGTGGCGGAGCCAGGGGAGTCGCCCGGGGAGCCCCCTTCCCCTTTTTTCTTAGACCAAGCTGAGGTCCGAAGACCCGAAGGTTAAAGATGAGGGTCCATATTATATATTTTATGTGAGTGTTTAGTTCTCTTTAATCTGTAAAGAGTAAAAGGTAAAGTGGATATTTCCCTAGAATGTTGATTTTTTTTTTTTTTTTTTTTTTTTTTTTTTTTGTCCGTAACTCTGTCAAAATTGGTCAGAATTTCCAAAACAAGGTATCTGTGGAGAGGTATATCCTAGCTCATGTTGCTGCTTACATACTTAATAGCTTAAACGGAAAGCTGAATGGGATAAGGAAGGAAAATAGGCTTCGCTCCATACGGAACAAAAAAACGACTAAAGCGTCTTCAAAGGGTTAACTCGCAGGTTCGATTTCCGGGACCAGACCAATCACTCCGGGTCTTAAAATAACTGAGAAAGCAAGCGGCTAGGCCTTCACATGGCTCGGATGTCCTCGTAAAATGGCCGCGTCCCCGGTTGGAGACGTAGAAATATTGTGCCCATTTAGTAATTCCATGCTAAATATATTGACACTTAAATAAGGTGCTCTGTAACTGGCATAAATTCGTGCTTCTTAACACCAAAGCAGTAACCCCTTATTACAATTAGAGAAACTGTTTTATGCCAAAAAGGCCGGTCTTACCTTGCTGCTGCACCATTCTGTAATACAGCTCCAACAGAACAAATGTCCACAGCGAGTGGCAGTTTTACCCTGGGGTCGGTAGCTGTTAATTAAGCCATTTTAGCGCTCTGGATTAGGCGCCGACGCTTCGTATTTTACGTAACAATATTTGGAGGTCAACGCTGTCGAAGGCTTTACTCATATCCAAAAGTACGCAGGCAGTAAATTTCTTATCATCGATTCCTTTGAGAAATGCATCAGTTTTGTGAATTAAAGACGTCTCAGCAGAGAACAATTTTTTGTTGCCGCTTTGTTTTGTGGTAAGCCTTTCCTTGGTTGTCAAATAGGTGACAAACTGAAAACCTTTCACATGCCTATTAATTTTAAGAAGTTTGTATCCCTTGTAACTGCTGTAAATGTACTATTTTTTTGAAGCCTCTGTTGGCCCTTTTGGGCATTTTAACAGACCTGACTGATAGATTTCCCTACCCTTCCATTGATTTCAACTAGTGAAATCCCTCCCTTTTCATGTACCTGAAGCCTGCAAAAAAGTTCCCTTTTTCTAACCCTAACAAAGCCTCCTACTGACAAACTTTGCCTTCCAATAACCCTCGGATTAGTACCCGTGTGATTACAGCGTTATTTTCAGTGTAACCACCTATAGAGCGTTTTCACTCACGTGGCAGCATCTATGCAAATTTATTGGAACAAAAATAAGCGTTAACATAAGAGTTCAACTCCCACCGGATTTGTTTGGAACAGAAATATGGCCGCCCTATTTGGCCCCACTTCTTCCTCTTTGGGCTTGAAATATAGTTACAAAATAGTTTGTGTTCCTCTCCAAAAAATATCGTGAAACAGTAGACCCCTCGACCTACCTGCTCTGCAACCGATGATCGCTAGTTCTTGGTTGGTATGAAACCGATTTTATCCAAGATAAGAAGACACGTGATTGACATTTTCATCAGTCAATTGAGTGTTATGTTGTTGACAATGACTTGGCTGATTTCGCGAAAGATCCGTGGCTATTTTCCTAACCAGTTAGATGGTTAATGACGTGTTACTATCGTCATTGATAACATCAGCATGGCCTCGTAAAATTAAAGAACGAATGTTGTCATTTATAACAGTTTATTACATTTATGGTCAAATGTTATTACATTTAGGACTTCACTACATTTAGGATCAGTTATTACATTAAGTGAGGCACTATACAAAGCTGCTAAATTGAAAAACACATTAACATTTCTTAAATGCTATTTAGAAGTGCATAACAAATCATCTAATGTTGCTTGCAGAGCTGAACTTGACAGATTCCCTCTAATAATTGGCATAGATGAAAGGATAGTTAGTCACTTATAACTACCTCAAAGAAAAGGATGAACATTCTACAGTTAAAAAAATCTTTAGTTTCCTTATTATAATTATTCCAGTCTCATTAAGGTCAGTGAGTATCATAATTTCAGCAACGTCAATAGCTCCAGTTCGATATGTCAAAATTCTAACATGACTCCGAGGCTTTGGGGGCAAAATTGCAAATGCTCTCCACTGACTTGCAATTCCCGTTGATTTATTGAGTTCTTTCTTAAGCCTAGTTTAAACCCCTTGCAAAATGCTCTGTTCATCATACAACATTGTCGGAATCCAACCAGTTGCACTAGTTTGGCTATTTTGTTGCATGACACAGTTTTCCGTGATATTTCGTCGTCCTTATGTGCGAAAGAAACATGTTATTTTAGACCCCCTTCACGCGTATCCAGATATTTTTGAATCCCTACCTTTTTCTTTCCGGATTCGGCTTCCTTCCACAAGTATTCGGTGAATCCGGCATACGAATCCGCAACTTTTTGAATCCATTCTCCAGATTGGATTTTTTGGAATACGCTAGGAATCCGAAATCGTGTGGACGCTAAATCCGGATATATAGTAATTTTTTTTAATCCAGCGACGTCATAAAATCGAGCCCAGTTGTTTACCGTGAATATTCAAGACGGCGCCGTGCGAAATGTTATTGCTTTTCTTGAACTTGAGTTTTAAGTCTTATAACCTGTGTCCAGTATAACCTACCTATGATTACTGTACACCTCAATTAGGCCAAACGGTGGCTCGACATTTTGAACCGTCTGTCCACGTCGGACGGACGAATTGGACGCCTTAAACAAGCTAAAGAGCGGACTAGTGCTTCGTGGGACAATTAATTGTGTTAGTGAAACAGTCATTGAAGAAGATTGGCGATAAAATTTTCGCACGAGCCGAAAATAGCTTTATAAATTTGCTAACGAACTAAGAGTGAGTCCGGATACGTGTGGACGGGCGAATTCCGTTTGAATACGGATACGTGAGTAGTTATGGAAATGGGTAGTCTGACGCATTACAAAATCTCAGATAAATGCTTTAAACAAACCTCTGGTTGTAAAGATTTTATAAGAGAATTTCTTTACATAAGATATATTAATAATAAATGTTTTGAGTTTTTGAAAATGTTAAATGAAGATGAAACAAATTATGAAGATATTTTTTGGAGTTCTAAAGCAAAAGAACTTACTAAAATCTTTAAAGATTTTTTGCAGGTAAAAATGAAATGCAAATTTCAAAATTTCAATAATATCAATTTTAGATCGAGTTCTGTTGATAGCATCATCCAACTAAAGGTTGAACTATATTATTTAATAGGTAATAAATTACATCCTGACTTTATTATGAGTGATGATGAATTTCAAGATTTTTTTGAGAATTTCATCATCTTTACTCATAGAATCTTTCTTAAAAACGAGGAGGATTACGAAAATGATATCTTTGATATAAATGAGTATAGAGGGATTAATATAGAAATTGATAGTGATTTTGATGATTTAAGTGATAGTGATAGTGATAGTGATAGTGATAGTGATAGTGATAGTGATTAAATAAAGTCTTATAATCTAATTATAAGATTATAAGACGTCATGTCTAACCAAGAAAATTGTTTGTGGGGTATATCTGAGAATATTTCAAATTACCAAAATTTTATTAAAAATAATATAATCCCGAATTATGCAAGTGATTATAAGAATGATAACTTAAAATTATCAGGAAATCTTAAGATATATATAGAAGATAATATAATGAGATTAAAAAAATCATATAGCAAAAATTGGGATAAAATTATCATTTATGAATATATTTTAAATTTGGTGAATTTTATAATTAATTATTTTAATAATCCTACGAAAGATAGACTCAAGATTATTGATTGGTATTTTATTGATTTGATAATAAATAAAGGTAAAATAATTATTCGTGGTATATTTTATGATCTTGGTTTATTTATTGAAGACAAAATACTTAGTGAGGGACTTTTAGAATTAGAATCAAGGATAAATGAAATGAATGATATTTAGTCTTATAACAATTGTTGTTACAAGACTTAAGTTTATTTTAATATAATCAAAATAATAAAAATGGAATCAAGATCGAGAGAAACTACTCCTACAAAAGAGGATTTGGATTTTATAGTTGATGATGGTTATAGACATGATGAGGATCCAGATTATGTACCAAACGAAAAATATGTTGTTACAGGACCAGAGTTTAAGAGATTAACCAGAAATGCTAAAAAGCTTGGTGCTGAATCGCTTGATTATTCAACACGTAAAAATAACAAATACATGGCCACACTTCCAGGTGGAAAGAAAATTCATTTTGGGTCATCAAATTATCCAGACTATCTTATTCATAAAGACAAAGAGCGAAAAGATAGGTATCTTGCTCGAGCTAAAAAGATTAAAAATAAGCAGGGAGAGTTAACTTATACTAATGCTGAATCAGCTAATTTCTGGAGCGTGAATTTACTATGGCCAGAAAAATGATTTTATAATATCTAAGTATAATATAAAATGGAGAATGATATTTTATCTAATATAGATGAAAAATTAAAATCAGGATTTTATCTTGAAAAAATTAGTATTGATGCTGATGGAGTTGAAGCTTATAAAGAAAAAGATAATGTAAGGTTAACTTTTATTCATGGTATATTATTAGATGATGGTGAGATGGTTGAAGATGGTGGTGATTATGTTTCTATTTATTTACCACTTCCTCTTAGATTTGATGAAGAATGGTTTAAGAAATATAAAGAAATAAATTTAACTGTAAAAACTATTGAAGATTGTTATTCAGAAGAATATTTAAAAAGTGATTTAAAGGAATAAGAATATATAATAAAATGCAGTTGTCAAGTTACGAAAATATTACCCAAGAGAATATTATCTTTAATGAACCCAAAGAATACAAAGTAAAAGATACCAAGATTAAATACAAACGTATCCCAATTGAAGTCAAATATCCAAATAACAAAAAAGGACCACTAGTAGTTGAAACTCCATTTCTTTTTAGCTTTGGTGTTAATGAGAAGAAAAACCAAGAAACAAACAAGTTAGTTGGTTATAGTATTCCAGTATGTCTTTGGGCTAAGGATAGCGAACCGAATACTAAAGAAAAAGCATTTTTTGATTTTATTAATAATGTAACAACTCTATCTCAGCAACATTTAGAGAATGAATATGGTCCAGATTTAGCATCATCTATGTCTTCACCATTTTATTACAAACAAATAGAGTATACAGATAAGAAAGGAAAAGGTAAAACAAAAGTTGATGATTCATCTGCTCCAGTACTTTACGCAAAACTTATTTACTCAGAAAAATCAAGGAAAATTCTTACTCTGTTTAGGGGAAAGGGGGGAAAGGATTTAAATCCTTTTAAATATATTAATCAGTACTGTAATGTTAAATTAGCATTGATAATTGAAGGAGTATTTATAAGTAAAAATGTTACATCTTTACAAATAAAAGTACACGAGTGTTATGTCAAACCATTAGAACCTAGAAAGAGTTTACTTACAATTGACGAAAAAAGTAGTGAAAGTGAAAGTGAAAGTGAAAGTGAAAGTGAAGGGATAACTTATCAAGAAGTTGAAAACTTATTTTTATCTGATAAAGAAGAAAAAGAGTAAATTGCTGCCCGAGCGTTTCAGGCGGTCAGCAAATTGTCACTAGAGGGATTTATTTTTAATACAAATTTTGTATTAAAAATCAACCAAATCCTTCAAACTTACCCATGAGTTAAATTTATCAGGATATCCACTCCATTTCACTAATGCCATTTTTTTCTTATTATCCCTCCTGATTATCTTTTCTATTCTAAAAGTTTGTTGTTTTGCTTTCTGTAATTCTTGTTTGTAAAAAGAACCCTTAATTTTTTCTCCCATCAAATCAGTAATAGAATATGTAATAGGTTTTGTTGGTAAAACTTTATCAATTACAAATATTTCCTCTGTCCAGTTTGGTGTGTAGCCTTTATCAAATACCCTCCTCTTATACTTAGAAATTCTAACTTTATCACCAACTGCAAAAGTTGATTTACCAGGTTTCAAGTAAATAGAATCACCGTACAAATTAGACCAAACTATTTTTTCATTTTTCTTTTTACTTGCTTCAACAGGAGTTATTTTTATACTAGAATGTTTCGTGTTGTTGTAATCATTAATTAGTTTATCTAACTTATCCCAGTAAACAGTGTTGTTATTCACAGTAAACATTTTCCACATTCTGTTTTTCATTGTTTTATTCCATCTCTCAACAACACTAGATTTCTCCTCATTTTCAGTGTGATACAACCTAATTCCTTTACTTTTAAGAAAATCTTTGAAATGTTTACTTATAAACTCAGAACCTTTATCAGTCCATAACATTTGAGGTTTACGTTTACTTTTGAATATATCATCAAATGCTTTACTAACAGTTTCAGTTTTCTTATCTTTTAATCCCCTAATCCATCCATACTTGCTAAAAACATCAATAACCATGAGCAGATATTTAATCCCTTTATTCCACTTACTAAACTTTTGCATTTCAACTAAATCAGCAGCCCAGATTTCATCAATACCATTTGAGATTACTGATCTCTTTTGAAAGTTTCGTGTGATTGGTTTGTGAAGTTCGTCGGCTAATTGTTGAGACCAATCACTACTCAACGCCGACTCACGTTTAAACCTAGACCAAGACCAAGACCAAGTTTTTGTTTTGTATTTATCATAGTTCTAGCCATAGCATGACCCCATTGTCTTTTTTTCCAAGGAATTTCATCTAGTGATTTTATCATTTTTCTATCAGCTTCATTTTTACATTTTACTTGTTCACTTTTTGGTTTATTTCCACAAACTGAGTAATCTACATCATGTTGCATACTAACTGCATCAGTTGCCACAGTTGGTTGATCGTAAATTTCTAATATTTCACCAGTTTCCGGATTATATCTTAGTTGGTTTTCAAGATCATTATAAGGACCAGTATATTTATGACCTGGTAATGTCCATCCACCTTTTGGTTTTGGTAATTTACCAATTTGCTTGTGAATATCTATAGCACCGCCCGCCATCACTGACGGGCTAATTAGTTTTTTGACTTTTTACCACTTCCAGTTTGAAAAGCTGATCCATTTTTCACATATCTAACTTTTTTATTTCCACAAACTGCACATCTACAAAAGAATTGAGTTCTACCTCTTTTATCTTGTTGGTAACCACTTGGCTCTGTACAAGGAGTTACTCTTTTATCTACGATACAATAAGTTTCTTTCATTTAATATAATGTTTAGATAAAAAATATGACTACTAGATCTAATTTTGTTAAAAGTGAACTTCAAAAAATATACAACAGCCTTAACATGAGTTATGAAAATGCTGTGCATTATAGAATGGAAAATGATTCTAGGTTTATAAAAATATTTGAGTTGTTAATGGAAATAAGTGAGAAATCAAATACTTTAAGTAATATTATAAAAGGTAATTATCTGTTTATATAGTAAATGGAGGCTAAATTCTTTTCTGAGATAGAGAAAAATATGACTGTTAAAACAATCAAGGATTTTGAGAAAGAAGTGCGAACAAAAATATATAATGAGTTGGAGTCTCTTAGAAAGAAAAACGAAGATTTTTCTAGAGTGTTAATGGCTGGTGAATGTGAGATGTGGAAAAAAATAAGAAATGAGGAGTATTCTTGGTTGCAAATAAATAATGATAAAAAGAAGAAACTTTATCGTCTTATTGACATTTATTCAAACTTTATTGACATAGTTGATGGTGTTAAAGATCTAAATAGTAAAGTTGAGAAGGTTAAACAGCTAAAGGATTTACCAGTGGATAGTGAATAAATAATTATAAAGAAATTACGTAAATATAATATTTAATAAAAATATTATATTTTTTCTACAAAGTAGGTTTTTTATATTTATCCTCCAAAGTAGGCTTTTATAAAATCACTGTTGTCATCATCAAAATATGGGTTATGTATTACATCTAGAATACTAGTACCACGTTGTCTCTCAAACAAATAATATAAACACCAGTAACCACAGAGAACAGTATTGCGATTTTGTATTTCATCCATTGAGTAAACAATACGTTTTCCAGAAGTCTGAAAATACTCTAATGCTTCATTTGGCATTATCAGCCCAAATGGATCAAAGTACTCAACCACTGAACCAAGATTTCTATAACAAACCCAGTGTGTTCCAGGACCTTGAATATCATCTAGATTAATTATTCCACATTCTTTTCTAATCTTTTTAGGAAGTCCATCACGACTATATATGTCTCTAAAATGTTTAATACCAAGTCTTTTTATCCAATCCAAAAGGTTAAAGTTGGATAGAGGTTTAATTACAAAATGGTTCCTAGAATGGGGATTGAGTTGAATGGGCTGTTTTTTCCTAGTAGTAGTCTTTTTCCCTTGGATTTGGACTTTTTTTTTTTAACTCCCATTCCAATAGGGTTTTCCCAAGAGCCAATAAAGGGTGGTGAGCGATAAGGATAACCCTCACCATGTGTGGATAGAGGAGGAGGATGTGGTACATAAACATTTGCTGTATTATACGATCCACGTCTATCAACCTGAAGTCCACTACCTAACATTTTAGATACCAAACTAATTGCTATTGGAATTCCAATAGAAGCAAGAGTACCAAGAAATCCTCCTTCTATCTGTCTACGAGTTGGTTTTATAACCAGCCGTCCACCTGATTTATAAGCTTTGTTAATTTGATTTATTTGTGATTCGGTAAATTCTCTTGCAAGAGGAGGTAACATTGGTAAAAACTTTTGTGGTATTGTAATACCTTTTCCAAATATTTTATTTAGGCCAATTTCTCCAAGTGCGGTTGCAGCACCGGTTGCTAGTGCAGGAGCAACTTTTGAAATTCCTTTTATTGCGTAAGGTAGTACTTTTGCTCCAATAGAAGCAAGTGATGAAAATAAGTTTCCACCATGTTTTACAGATTTTCTAATCTGAGTTTTACTTATCTTTATATCTGAACCTGTGCCATTTGCCAGTGATTTTTCTATTTTATTTATTTGTCTTTTTGTTAGCATTAACTCATCAGAACCTTTAAGATGTCCATGTTTTAACCGAAGAGTTAGTGGTGATTGATTTACTATTGCAGAAGCCAATTTTGACTTTTGGCCATCTGTAAGTTTTACTCCATATTCAAAATAAGTAGTCATTTTTTTATTTTAATAATTATATTAAATTGATTTTAAAAACAAGCTTAAATATAAAAAGTATAAAATAAAATGGCAAACATGTTAGAAAAAAGTTTTAAAAATGAAGCATTAGGACTTGATTTAAAATCTTATATAGACAAACAGCAAAATATTTGGTTTCGAGGAAAAGATATTGCTAATATTCTAGGTTATAGTGATACTAATCAAGCAATTAGAAAACATGTTGATAATGAAGACCAAAAAAGCTGCCCCGTCGAAACGACGGGTCAGGTCAGATGGTGTATTTTTTTAAATGAATCTGGATTTTATTCCCTTGTTTTATCCTCAAAATTGGAATCTGCAAAAAAGTTCAAAAAATGGGTTATTTCAAAAGTACTTCCATCAATAAGAAAATATGGATATTACAAACTTTTTGACAACCCAAATAATAAAATGTTTAAGATTGAAAATGAGATGGACCTCCACACAAAAGTTGTTGAATTAATTAGAAATTTTTATCCTGATTCTATATTAGTACCAGGACTTGGTGAAAACCAAGATACATGAGAAAAAAGAATTAACAGTTGGAAAAAAGGCTACATGCGCGGCCAACCAGATCTTATGATTCTTGATTATCACAATGATTATCAAGGACTCTGTATTGAATTTAAATCACCAACTAATAATTACAACATATCAGAAGATCAACTGAAAATGAAGAAAAAGTATCGTGATAATAATTATGCATTTATACTTAGTAATGATTATGACAAAATAAGCAAGCTAATACATAAATATATGGATGGCGTTCGTATTCCATGTGAATATTGCACAAAAGCATTTACTACTAAAGAAAAACTAGAAATACATTATAAGGTAATTCATATAATTGAGAAAAATGCCTAATTTCTAAATAATTATTATTTAGAAATAAAAAAAATGATAAAGATATAATTTTATATATATAAAGTTTTTATGTAATTTTTAATTAAATCTTCCATTTTCTTTTTTTTAGGTTTTTTAGTTTTTTTAGTTTTTTTATTAAATTTTGGTTGTTTTATTAAATCTTCTTTTTTATCAACTTTCTTTTTAGGTTTTTTAGGTTGTTTTATTAAATCTTCTTTTTTATCAACTTTCTTTTTAGGTTTTTTAGGTTGTTTTATTAAATCTTCTTTTTTATCAACTTTTGGTTGTTTTATTAATTTTTTTATTTCTTCTATTTTATTATTTATTTTAATTATAAAAGGACATGTTTTTTTTAGTTGTTTATATGGTAATAATAAAATATATTTGGTTTGATTACGTTTTGCTTTATTAACATCTTTAATTTGAGATTTATTTAAAAAAACTACAAATGGTTTTTTGCGATTAGTTTTTGCATAATTAAGATTAATTTTTTCACCTCCTTTAAAGAATTGTGGATTGTAGCATTTAAAATAAAAAGAATGTATTTGAGTAGATGTTAAATGAATAATATATTTTTTATATTCTCCATTATTAATACTTAATTTACTACTTAGTATTTTTTTTAATTTTTTTTCCATTTTATATATTCATTTTATTAATTCTATTTTTAGATTAAGCACGAAGTAATAATTTTCCATCTTGTTGTGATATTTCTGCTATTCTTTCGTGTAAGACTAGCGCGTAAATATTATAATCAGCGTTTGGATTAGCAGATAATTCGTAATGAAATGCTAATTCTGTAACTCCATCTTTGATATCCATTTTTTGTTTTGTCAGGTCAAAATAAACAAAAGGAAATAAAGATTTAAAATTACTTATATTAAGTAACGTTCCACCTTGATAATCATTATTTGCATAGACGTATGACATTACATTTCTAAAAACTCTTGACATATCTGTAGAAGGTTTAAAGTGAATAAATGGATATTCGTTTCCATTTGCAACTTCTAGGTGACAATCTCTTATATTAGCATTATTTGGTAGATCAAAAGTGTCGTATAAAAATGGATTTGCTGTTTGTGAATCAATTCTTGCTGTATCAATTCCAAAAACAAATACATGCCTTGGCTTTGAAATAGCATTTGTAATTCTAAAATGTCCTGTCTGTTGCTGTGAATTATTTGACCTTTCAACTACTTCATTCAAATATACCCATTTGTAAGGTTTAAGATAATTTTCCATATACAGCTTTTGTCCTTCTGAATTAAACGTAAGTTTTGGAATAAAAAGTTGTAGTCTTGTTATAATAACTCTACAATCATCAGCAGCTTGAAAAATTAAATTTGCATCTTTTTCAATTTCAATATTGAGTTCGATTTTTGTATTAGGAAGTAGTTTATCTTCCAATGCTTCAAAGAAAGAATATCTATTAAGAGGAATTTCACAGTTTACTGTGGCTGATGTACCTAATAGTAATTTCCTTTTATGAAAACCTTTATTATAAGTTGCTTTTCTTTTAGCTAACTGATTTGTGCCACTAACTTCAAATTCTCTTTCCTCTGCAGCTCTTGATGTATCAAGAAAATAAAATTCGTTTGTAGAAACACTCTCTGCATAAGAAGGATTATACTCAAGCAAATTTTTAATATTTACAGCATGATTTGCGTAGTTACAACTATAAACTTCTCGACCATTTGCTAGGATACTTAATTTTTCTATAAAGGAGTTACTACCATTTACAATTCCGTTATGATCGTTAGCTGCAATATTTCCTCCATCTGCTAGTTTATTTACTTTAAAATCCATTGATAATCGTGCGTTATACCAATCAAAAGGAGTAGTTTCTCCTGTATTATCAGCAACAAATCTAAGACCTGTTTTAGTTTGGTGAGCGTTATTTGCTGGAGCAGCATCTAGAGTCTGTTCCAGGTCAAATACAACATCTTCATATCTATCTAAATATTTTGGATTTCTAAATGACTTCATTTTATTTTAATAATTATATAATTTTTCTCTTACGTGTTGAACCTCCACTAAGAAGGTTATTCAACATTTGATCTATCTCTTGTTGATTTATTGTTTCGGCATTTTTATTAAAATTAACTTTTTTAGCAGGGGGTTTTCGGGAGGGATTGCCTTTTGATAACATTTGCACTATTTTATCACCAGCCTTCTTACCAACATGTTCACCAGTTTTTGTTGCAGCTGCTGTCACTGCTTTTTTACCAGCTTTTTTCATTGTCTTTCCAAATAATTTTGAACCAACAGATTTAAACACATCCATCATTCCTTCACCATAAATATGTTGTCTTGTACATCGCCCTAATTCAGGGTTAAATCTCTTTTTAAACTCTGATTGTCTACTCATTTTTATATTATTAGTTATATTACATAGAGTGAAGTATTAAAGTCATAAACCAATCAATACCGTTAAAATTTATTGCTCTACCAAGTGAGTCTGTCACATAGATTCTCATTTCATCAATTTGAAATGATGATAAAGGGCAATACAATGGTCTTTTAGGTTCGAAAGTAAATGGAAAAGACCTTGTAAGATTATCAGTTGGTTTTACAGCAATAGTATTAGTGTTTATTCCATTTACAATACTATCAGTTATTGCGGTTGTGTTGATATTTAATACATCAATCGAATTTGTGATATTTGGTAGTTTTGATCCATACTCTGTTTTATTAATAAGTTTCTTTTCAAAACCAATTAGGTCTCCAAATTCTGTTCCTCTCAAATCAAGTTGATAATCACCTTCAAGTGATATGAGAACTCGATAGGTAGATAGTATAAAAGTTAGATTGATTGAATAAGTTTTTTTTCCACTTGAATCTGTTGAGTGATGAGACTTTTGCCCCATATACTGATGAATGTAATCATTGATATCAGAGTAGGAGTACATTCCATCTGTAAAAGTAATTGTTTGCCAAGTTCTTCCATCATGAGTGTATTTGATTTTATTGTTTCCATAATCACTTCTAATGTTATACCAAGAGTAGGTCATAGACAACCGATCAAGAGCAAGTTGGTGTTTCATTTCAGGGTCAAGTTTCAAAGATGGATTAAACTTAATAGTAAAATCACCAGGTCTGCTTGCTCCTCTTTTTTCCCTATTTATTGAGGAAATGTGAATAGCTCGTTCTTCCATTTTTATATAATAGGTATATAATTTTTTAGTAAATCATTTAGTTGTTTTTTTGAGATCACTTTCATTTGGTTGAGAAGATGGGCAATTTGAGAAAACTCAGGTATCACACCATTATTCCCAGCAAGAATTGAACCACCAAGTAATTCAAGTCTATCTAGAAGTTGATGTGGGTCGTTAAAGTAAACAATCCCAGAGCCAGATTTTGTTTTATAATACTTAAGATTACTTAAATTTGTTGCATATATGCTTAATACATTATATTTATTTATAAAATTTATTGTGTTTTCATGTGGTTTTTTACTTACTGGTTTAGCTAATAAATAACCGTTTGGGTCTCGTGTAAAAATTGCAGTGTTTTTTATTGCTTGACTTGTAATTTCTAAATCATCGTTAACATCATTAATTACTTTATCAATGGTAGAAACATCCTCTTTAAAATACTCAGAAGGGAGTTTGTGGTATTCATTAGTTTTGAGTATATCTTGTGTTTCTTTACTATTTAAATATCTATCTAGGTCTTCAGCTTTAAATTTTGCTATTTTTGGTCCCTCATCTGGTGTAGAGGGTAAAACTCCATCATCTTTTTTAGACTCTTCAATTGCTTCAAAACCTGGTAATTGCGCCAAATCCCATCTTTTTACCTCATCAAGTTTATCAAATCCTTCATTTATAGCAAGTCTGTTTTGATTAAGTCCTTGTGTAAGAGCAAGTTGATTAGCTTTAAGTTGTGCTATAGTTGCGTTTTGTTGCTCATCAATACTTTAATGCTATCTTGAGATTTAATAAGTGGTTTAAATGTCTCTTTAAAACCTTCCCGCATATCTTGTTTTTGCCATTTTGTTATTTTTATTACATCTCTCACCTGTTGAGTTAAAGCGTCAGCTTCAATTTTATTTCTTGCAAGTTTTTTGTATTCTTCAATATTCATTTTATATAATAAATAGATAAATGGAAATACCAAACTATGATAGTACCGATGACCCGGATAAAAAATATAAACAGTTATTTCCTTACATGCCATCAGATACTTTTAGAATGTTAATTTGTGGAAACAGTGGAGTGGAAAAACTAATCTTTTGTATCATATGTTAATTAAACCACTGTTATACTATGATGAGATTTATCTTTACGCGCGTAATCTAGAACAGGATAAGTATCAAAAATTAATTCAAAAAATGAGGGAGTTGAGTAGTAAATTAGGATATGAAATACTTCATGTGAGTAATGATGAAATAACTCCAGTGACAGAAATGGATTATGAAGACAATCAAAAAATTGTAATATTTGATGATTATGTTTGCGATAAAAACCAGAGACAACTTATTGATTATTTTATCCAAGGACGTCATAAAAATTGCTCTGTAATCTACCTCAGTCAATCATTTTACAAAACCCCAAAAGATATTCGGTTGAATTGTTCTCATTACTGTCTGTACGAATTTCCATCATCGAGGGAAGCAAACAGAATATCATCTGAGTTGGGAGTTGACAAAGAGACATATAAAACAGCAACAAAAAAACCATTTACATTTTTATATGTTGATAAACCCAGAAAACGTATTGCTAAAAACTTTACTAGTACCCTCCCTTAAAAGAAAATATAATCATTAGATAAAAATGGGTATATTTAACGAACAATCTTTTGATCATCCCTTTGCAAAGGGAATTCAGGGTGTTCCAGGAGTTGGATTTAGTCTAACTGCAGATGGAAATTATGATATGAATAAAAAAAGACTCACAAATGTTGGAGCACCCAGTGCTAATACTGATGCTGCTACAAAGAAGTATGTTGATGATAATTCCAGTGGTACACCCACAACATCACGATTGGCAGTTGATTCAAACATTGATATGAAGGACCGCTTTCGTATTCTTAATCTTAAACATCCAGTTGACTCAGATGAGCCAGCCACAAAACAATACTCAGACAGCAGATTTCTTGATAGAAATGGTTCACGAACAATGATTGGTAATCTAAGCATGAATAATAATAAAATAACCAACCTTGGCACACCAACAACCAATGATGACGCTGCAACAAAAAAGTATGTGGATGATAATTCCAGCGGATCACTCACGTCAACAAGGCTAACAGCTGATTCAAACATTGATATGAAGAATACATACCGAATTACAAATCTTAAAACACCACTGAGTGGAAAAGAACCTCCTACAAAAGACTACGTAGACAACACATTTCTTGACAGAGATGGTTCCTACCCAATGAAAGGTAATCTCAATATGAATAATAATCAAATATTAAATATACCAGCTCCAACGGGGCCCAAACAACCAGCACCATTAGCTTTTACAAATTTAAAGTATGTTGCCCGTGATGGTTCATCTGCAATGACTAATAATCTAAACATGAATAATAAAAAAATAATTAACCTTAGACCACCAACATCAAACACAGATGCTGCAACCAAAAAGTATGTTGATGATAACACAGGTGCCCCAGATCTAAGTGATTATTTAGAAAAAGATGGTACTGTCACTATGACTGGGAACCTTAATGTTGGTAATAATAAAATAATAAATCTTAGTAAACCAACCCAAGACAATGACGCGGTAAATAAAGATTACGCTGACAAACTAGTTCACAAAACAGCAGTTCAACCAAGTCATTACAACAACCAGTTTGCTTATCTCATGTCAAGTGGGTCTCAATGGACTGATGAAATAGATACCGGAACCAGTTTTGTTATAAAAAAAATAGGAGATTTAGCACCAAACCAAGGAAACTTTCATGATTATAACCACAAAGTTATTTTTATTGCTATAAACAAAAATTCCCAAGGTGGATATAAGTACAAAATGGGAATCAATTTTTACAGGTTAACTGCTAATACCGAATACACACTGTGCTTGGAAATACTCAACACTGATTATCAACTATGGCATAAGTCTCAAATAAGTGTGGACAAAGGAACTTCAACAGGATTATCAATTGGAAATGTTAGTATAAGGAAACTATCTCATAGGTACACACAATCAAATGGGCAACAACAATTTATGTATTATCACAGAATAATAGTTAATTTCCGGAAGTTGTCAACTGGAAATAGGTTCTTTCTTCATTTTTTGGTTAATATACCACAAGATGGAACTAACTTAGCTGTTTATCCGAGTCAGTTTTCAAAAGTTTATATAATTACTTATGGAATTGTGGGAACATTTAGCAATATCGACCCAGATAAAGTTTATGACTATCACACCGCATTTGATATCAAACCAACAGAAGTGGTGTACAACGTTGATATAAATGCAAATAATAAAAAAATATTAAACATTAATCTTGATAGAAACAATAATAATAGTGCTGCAACAGTTGGAATGGTAAAAGAAATTCATCCTTTTACTACACATAATTTGTACAGAAAATATTTTGAAGAAGTTTATGATTTTACTAATGCCGCTAATTACAAATTGAGTAAAACCGCATCTGGTATTGTTTTTAATTATTTATCTTCTACTAGCGGTAATACTTTGAGATATATTGGCATACCTAATAGAACTATAGATGATATAAGAAAAGAAGGCTTAAATGTTTATGGTTATAATCTTAGTTTTTCTCCTCCTAACGGTATTACAAAATATACTTTATGTATTGTTTTTTATTTTTGGATAAATAGAAATTTTAGTATAAAGAAAAAAGGTTCAAATAGTGGAGCTATTTTATTAAGTTTATTCTATAGTACTAGAGGTAATAAAATAACTTTATTCGTTAATAAAGTAAGAAGACAACTTTCCTTACCAAGTAGTTTTAATGGAAAAAAAATTGTTGTATGGTTGGCAGAAGATTTTAGCCAAAATATTACAAAAGCTAAAATAAGTAACTACAGCGCAATATTAAGTTTACCAGTCGTTCGTTACACTATCAATCAAGAGTTTGAGTTTACAACTGAAGATGGAGAGTTAAGTAAAATAATGTACTCTCCAAACTTTTACGACATCGACTCTGAGCAATATCACAAAGTATTGCTTCAAGAAAAGTTAAATGGATCTTATGTAATATAAATATAAAATGAAGGATATCTTTGAATTTAATCACATAGACCCATCTCTGTCAGAATCAGATGTCAAAACCCTAAAAGACTTTTATAGTCACTACCACAAGAAATACTGGTGTTTTAAGAAATGTTATAAGAGTTATAAATTTCTTGATAATTTTTTTACAATCTCTGGAATATGCTTGGTTGCAATAGGAACTATTTCTGGTGGAATTACACTTAACCCTGTAGTTCTTGGAGTTGTGAATGGCGCTGGAGTTATTATTGCTGGAGTAGGAAAGAAAAATAATTACAAGAGGAAAATTGAGATGTCAAGGATTGCTTTTACCACTTATGAGAAAGTACTTGTTGAACTCCGAGCAGCTCTTAGGGGGGATGAGTGGAACAAACAAGAGTTTGTTGATCGAATAAAATTGATAGATGAATTAATAATTGATCAAACTCCAATAGCAGACAGATTTGAAATTAAATATGAAAATAAATTTAATATAAACATTAAATAAAATGGAAGATATAGAAAAGCATTTTATTTCTTCTTACAAATCTAATTTAACAAAAGAAGGTAAAGAAATTTGTGAAGAAATATTAGTTATGATAGGTGAGAAAGATGAAATGTTAATAGATAAAGCTAAAGTTTTTTGTGAGTATTTTATTTTTAACACCCCAGATGTAGATAAAACTATGAAGTTAGAAAGAAGATGTAAAAAATACCTAAACGATCTATATAACTTTAATGATTATAAACAAACTTTTAAAAGAAACACAATGGAAAGAGAAAGATTTTTTGATATGGGTGAAATAAATTTACAGAATAGAAATATTATTAATAAAAAATTGTAGAGTAGGTAATCTAGATTTAAATACTAATTCATCAATTAATATTAATCATCTGTCTTGTTGACGCCCCATTTCAGGGCGGCAACGTTTTATTACCAACCCTGATGGCGCGTTTCACGGGGTCAGCTATTTAGAAGATTAAATTTTATATTAAATTTTAATATAAAATTATTAATACCCATACAACCACAGATTTACATTAAGTATTTTCATATCTGGGTTTGCATCAAATATTTTTCTATGAATATCATATATATCTCTATAACTTTTATTTTCAACAGTTAATTCAAGTTTTGGTTTAACATCTGAATATGTTTTCAGTATTTTAAAAATTGGGCTACATCTACATTTTGTATGTAATGAAATCGCGGCATCAAGGCCATGAGTAGTATAACCAACATATATAGAATTTTATTTTTTGAAATTTATAACTATAAAACTCTATCTTTTTATTTACTGCTTTATCTAAATCTTCTAATTTACTTCTATTCATTTTATATATGGGATATATTACTTTAGTGATTTGTAACTATTCCACCACTTTTCATAATTTTCAAAAGTCTGTGGACTAATTTTTAAATAAACTAGTTGATACTTTTCACAACCCATTTCTTTTAAAAGTTTCTTAATCAAATAAAAAATATTTATCATTCTCTTTCTACAAAATTGTTTGTTTAGTATTTCCATAACATTGTTATCTATATTCATTAGTTTACTGTAAAGTTGACATTTTTCATCATCAGTTAGATGTAGTCTTTTAAATATTTGATCAACCTTTTTCTCATAGTGATACTTTCTATTATAAATACTCCTTTTTTTGAAATGAAATCGATCTTGTTCTTTAATGTCAAAGTAACCAAGAACATGACCATTAATTAATCCACATTCCTCACAAACATTTTGACCTAATTCAATAGTAAAACTATCGTTTTGACAATTACTACATCTAACTTTATTTTCTTTATTTTCTGATTGGTTATTTTTGTAACTTTTTAATATTTTCAAATATTTTTCTATTTCTTCTTCTGTGTAAGTCATTTATTATTATCTTTTTATCTTAAAGCCATCGTATTCACTTTGTCCTCCATTACAACACGCTTATCATCTTCGTTACTCAATGCTACTTTATTTACTTCCTTCGAATATATATCATGATTTTCACTTCTTATAATTTTCATATTTCTCATTTGTCTTTCACCCGAAAATAAACATTCTACATAGTCTTCAAATTCTATTTTATTTTTTACAACATTTTTCTTTACACCTTTACACTTTTTGGTTAAACTACCATCCTCTACCTTGAAACTATAAAGCTTTGGACGAAGACCAACAAAGTGTGTAATCTGTCTACCAGCTACTTCATCTTTAAACATTCCAATTACTTTTTTGTTAAATCCTGTTAGTATTCCAGATTTATGGTTAGGAGGATAATCAGATGTGTCAAACTTTTCTTTTATATCATAGGATATATCCTTGTAAAAATCATCAGTATGAATTTGGTATAAAAGTGAGTCTGTATCTGTAAACATTAACTCAGCCCTGTTTTTATATTTCTTTTTAATATAGTTGTAATTAAAATCAAACATTAATGTTTTTGACAAATCTAGAATTGCTTGTCCAACATATACAGGTTTATTAAAATAAACTTCAGTCTTTTTCATATGTACTGCAATAAGATTTTTATCAAATATTGTTGCTCTTTCAAAGTTTGGACGACTTGTTAATTTTTCTGCTTTTTTACGATTATCCACTAAAATTATATTTTGTCTTTTTCTTATGTTTTCTATTGTTTTACCAAAAACGCTATTATTCATTAATTTAAAAAAGTCTTTTTCAAAATTGTTGGCTGCTGTTTTTCGAAGTTCTGTATTCTTTCTTATGTAAGGTTCCATCCAAGAACTTTGGTAAAATGATATACCTCTGTGAACAGCAGTTATTTTCATTCCCATCTCAAGATATTGCCTTAGATTCCGATAATGTACAACATAGTTTTTTCTTGGTTTAAAATGACAAATTAGTTTTTTTACACCATTAACAATCATCTTTTCAGGCGCAAGTGGATAGTCATTGTGAGATTCCCATAGTTTGGAAGGATATTCTAAATCTACTTCAAATATATAACCTTTTCTTCCAAGATTAGACATACTATGATTTGCTTTCTCTAGAATTTCCATTACCTTTTCTTCTGTTATATCTTTCATCCATTTAAATCCATGTGTTGGAAGCTGTTGAGTCATTGCCCAACCGTAAAGATTGTTTGCATCCAGATATTGAATAAAAGTAGACTCATTATCAAGATTGAAATCTTTCATATATTTGTTATTCGCTTCTGCATATCTTTTTGATATGTGTGTTATCCCACCACGTATACCTTGCTCAAACATCATTAACATATCATAATCATGTAATAATTGTAATTGTTGTCCTGTTTCTTTTAGACATACATCCCAAGCTAAACCTGGGGATGTATAATAATGGGCTGGATCTAATTTGTAATGTTTGAGACAAGTTGCTGTAAAGTTTTCAAATACATCTGCTAGCAGTAATACATCAGACTTTAGGTAAAGATCGTGGTAATCTCTTATTGTTTTACAATCAAAAGTATTCCAAACATTTATTGCGTGTTGGTAATCTTCATCTGATATATCTTCATCATAAAGTTGGGAATAAAATTCTTCTTTAGGTGGTAATCTGGTTTCTAATAATTTTTCAAGTGATGAGACATAATCATAAGGATAGACACCTTTACGAGTTAGTAGATCTACATTCTTCTTAAATATTTTTTTTGTATTAAAAAAATCTTCTGGTTGTAAATTTCCAACAAGATTAGCAAGTGATGATTGAAGAAATTTTAGTGAATCTATAAATCGTACTTCAAAATTCAATGAAACCATTTCTCCAGTTCGTCTAGATTTATACTCATCAACCTTAATTTTTTTCGAAAAAGAAATATATTTCTCCTCTGTCGATGGAATACAGTTTAACTCACCTGGTAAACAAGCAAGTTGTTTTATAAACAAATGTGCATCATACCCTTGTAGATTATGAAATATAACTGGAAGAATCATTGGCTTCCTACACTGGAGATTGCAACTGTTATGAGCAGCTCCACGGTATTTACCAGTAAAATGACAATGATCTCTAACTTTATCCTTTTTTAATTCCATCTTACAAATGTGGCAGAATTTCTCTTTATTAAATGATATTTGTTCTTCTTTTGTTAAACGAAGAGGTTTTGGTTTACGATAAAAATCGTTATAAATACTTTTAGTTACTTCTGCAAGTTTATTTACAAATATCTCAGCTACATTATCATCACTATTGGTTTTTGTATAAGTAATTGGTTTAATTGTTATATTTGGTACTATTCCTTTAATGTATAAACAAAATCCTGATGGTTCATGCTTTTGGTATTTGTAAGTATAAGAATCTTCTGGGTTAGGACTGCAATTATGCATTGGCTTGGTAAAACATTCAAAATCTGCATAAACTACAAAAGGAACTGGCAACTGTTTGTAGTAGTTTTTGAAATGTAACATTGTGTTTGGTTGAGGCATTTTTACAGAAACTGTTTCATTATTTGAACAATATAAGATATGTTTTTGTAATAATTCTTCTTTAGTGTAATGAGTAAAACACTTCTTACAAATAAATATTTTTTCCTTACTTTTGGTTTTTTGAGACTTAATCAAACGAGTAAAATTTTTAAATAGTGAGTAATGTGAAACACAATCTTTTTCGTATAAAAATAAGTCAATAGTATTTATACAGTCTTTCTCTACCATTTTCAAAGGATAAAAATTGTCACTTTCATTAACTGAAAAAACATTAATTCCTGGAAGTCCTGGATTAAGTTTTTCAAATTTGCAAATATCTTTTAATTTCATAGGAAAAGTAATTCCTTTAGTGTTAAGAGAATTTTCATATTTTTTCAAATCTGTTAATCTTTCCTCATCTCTATCTCTTGGATAAAGATATCTAAGTATACACCAAAGAAAACATTTTTCATCTTTGTTTTTAATATTAACTATTGCTTTTTTATTTGATATCCAATCAGGAAGAGGGATGTAAGAAGACCCCTTTGTTGGATTATATTCAACACTATGAATTTCAAGTTTATCAACTTCTTTAAAATACCATGCACTTCCAGCTTCTTGATAAGCTTCAATTTTTGCATCAATATCATCTATACATATTTGAATTAATTTGTCAACATCTGTTGATTTAATGTTAATATGTGTTGCTGTATTAAAATAAGTTTTATCTTCTTCTATACCTATAACACCAGCACTTTGTGAAATATTTTGTTTTTCCATAATACAAACCAATACCATCTTAAATTTTATATTTCGATGATATGTAAAAAAATCTTTTAAATTTTTATAGATACGCTCAAAAAACTGCATTGGAGTAAGACCAAAAATTCCTCTAATAATATATTTAACAGCAAATTCTTCAAGAGCTGATTTTTCTTTTTCAAGTCCTAATTCATAATGTTCAAAAATAGCACGCTCAAGAGCTTTACGTAAATAAGAAGGTGTATCTTTAGGAATCTCTCTATTTTTTATACATTCCTCAAAATACTCATCAAATGTTTTTATCTTTTTCTTTTTAGAAGGAGGCGACTCCACAACGGTGGGTTTAAGTTTTTTAATTTCTTTTTTTATATCAATACCTTTTCTTACTTTTTCTCTAGCTTTTACCAATTTGTTATATTGTTTAATTAATCTTTTTCTTGATTCTAATTCCTTATAATCTTTCTTAAGTCCTTCTTTTTCTTCTTCTATTAAATGTCTTATTTCATCTAAAGACAAATTCTGAAATTCTTTATCTGTTACAAAGGGTGTACTACCCCACGAACCATTTTCTTGGTTAGACATGACGTCTTATAATCTTATAATTAGATTATAAGACTTTAAGCCTTTATTTAATCACTATCACTATCACTATCACTTTCAGAAATCCAATTAATAATAGGTTCTTCTTTTTTTATTTTATCATTAAATAAACAAATCAATTTAAAAAGCTCTCTAAAACCTAGAAAGTTAATATCAATATTTAATTCATAAGATTCCTCATCAAACTCATAACTATCTGGATCTACATATAAATCTCTAAAATTATCCAGTTGTTCTTCTAAAATTTCTATGTTATTAACATCAAAATATTTAAACTTTAATTTGCTAATATTTTGAAATTTGCATTTCATTTTTACCTGCAAAAAATCTTTAAAGATTTTAGTAAGTTCTTTTGCTTTAGAACTCCAAAAAATATCTTCATAATTTGTTTCATCTTCATTTAACATTTTCAAAAACTCAAAACATTTATTATTAATATATCTTATGTAAAGAAATTCTCTTACAAAATCTTTACAACCAGAGGTTTGTTTAAAGCATTTATCTGAGATTTTGTAATGCGTCAGACTACCCATTTCCATAACTACTTACGTGTGGGCGTAGTAGCTTTTGAATCCGCAAAGAAAAGTTTCCGGATTCAAAAATATGATATGTGTGGCCGGGACCTTAGCCACCGTGTTCAGCAACGTTGACCAGGCCTATACCTAAGCTATTCATGAGTATCCGTATACAAAGGGATGATTTATTTTGTTATATCGCATTCATTATTCTTGACCCTTTGCAGCCACGTAAAAGGTGACCGTTTAGTTAACAAAAAATACCGTCTAAGATTGGAAGTTAGCTTATTTGAGAGGATTTTAAGTTATTAATTTTTATAAGGGCGGTTTTCGAAAGTTATGCAAGCCCTCGACTTCATCTCGCGTTTGCATATGTGTCTTTGTCTTGAATAGGCCATTTGCATGATGAAGTCATTTTACTACTGCAAGCAGAATACTTCTAATCAGGGTTTTGCTTTCTTGTGCAAACTGTGGCTTTTGTTATTTACACCTCATTGGGATTACAAAACTTAAAAGTGAAAGGAAAACGGAAATGGCCTATTCTCCGCCTCTCTGCTGTTGTTTACTATCAGACTGCAATGCAAAGACGAGAAAAAGTTTTCTATTGCCTAAATATTAAATGATACTATTTTACTTAAATGTTTGGCGTATTCATCAATAATATTAGTAAATTTTGGTCTTGTAAATAGAAACAATATCGCTTTTTGGTGAATGCTGGTAAAACAGTTGGCCCCTTACCAAAAAAACGGCAGTGGCGGAGCCAGGGGAGGGGCCCGGGGGAGCCCCCTTCCCCTTTTTTCTTAGACCAAGCTGAGGTCCGAAGGCCCGAAGGTCTGGATCTGCCACATATAGTGCAAATTACACGCAGAAATAAAGTAAAACGACGCCGGCACAGGACTGTATGAGACCAAGGGAAATATTTTCTTGATAAAACTAAGGCATCGTTAAGCCAAAAGAAATTCCAGTGTTTTGGTTCCTGAAATAGCGGCCTACATTATGGCATGCAAACGTTGCATGAAACAACATGAATGAAACAACCCAAAGTGAAATAAAAATGAAAAGGGCAATTTCAAGAAAAAAGAAAAGGAAGCAGCAAACAAAGGAAAAATTCAAAACAAGCAAAAGCATAAAAGAAAGCAAAACATGCTGACGCTTAATCTAAAACGTCATGCTTTTCCACAGAAGATGTCCTTGTTGGCGGGTAACCTCTTCCCCAGGGCGCTTTTCCCGGCTTCCACCTGCAAAGCCAGGAAAGGGCCCTGGGGACAAGGTTGGTTTGCGGGCTCATTTAGCCTGCGTCGCAGACTTAATTTATCCCCAGTTAGTAACGTCCTTGTTCTGAGCACCCGACGAACTCAACGAATCATTGGACGTGCATTTCGAAATTCCTTTCAACTTTATAATTGGCGAATGGACAATGGCTTTTTTAACAGGCCAGTCATAGCGCGTACACTTTTTTTATAGATTGTGCTCGCAAAATTATTATATCAATATGTTACTAGCAGTGCTTGTATATTCCTAAAATTATGATGCCAATAATTATGCTTTTTTCTGTAACGTCTGCTCATGTTGACAAACACATTTAACTTAGCGACATCCTATCCAACATGCTATGGATTTTCACAAATATATTTCCTTTCCAGCGAGCATGAAATATCAGACCACTTCCCGTAATGGTATGGATCGGTGCTTATCCTTACTATTGCCACACAATCCTCGTTACCGTTGTGATTGTCCGGTTCGTGACCTCTCCAGTTTTTGTACCCATCCAAATCCAATCGAGTTCCGTCCGTCCACTTCCAGTCATTTTCATTGTCAGAGTCAGAAAGCCCAATCCAGTAATTTTCCTTTCTGTCGGTCGGCAAAAGTTTCGTTTTTATGAAATCATTTTCTTCACGAGATTCAACCTTTACCAAACCGGCATGCCATTTTTCGCATTCCTCCTTCGCGTTTTCCCAAGTTTTAGAAGACGTAAACAATTTATAACACGACTTCCCGTTGCCAATCCACCCTTGTTGACAAGCTGAGTTAAGAAACAATAGAAGAAGGAAAACCAAAAACATAAAATTAGCTGAAACTAGTAATAACCGAAGGTTACAGAGTGCGGGCGACAAAGATCGAAGATAAAAACGCTTTGCTCCAAAGCAATGTGTGATTAAATTCCGAGTGACAGAAGGTCCAAACGCGTGTGATCAGATTGCGTTCAATGCATTCCATTCATAAAGAGTTTTAGCAACGACGAGGGCGACCTCAACGAGAACGTCAAAATAGCAATAGGTTAATTTATTAAGCAAAACAACAAGTTTGCATGTGCATTACGCTTTTTTGTACATTTCTTTGCCGTTACTGCACGACTACCACGTGAAAATGCCTAACCTCATGTTTAATGGAGGACGCGCGTAAACAAGCGACGACGAAATTTTCTTTCTCTTTCTAAACTTGAGTGCGGTCCCCAGGAAATCAAATCCAGGGAAATTTGCCTGCATTAGACATTTTCAGCGAATTGGAATAAACGCGACAAAGTTTGAAAAAACGCTAATTCATTTTAAAAGTGACGTTTTCGCTGCCGTCGCCGTCGTCGATGGTTAAACTCCCTAATCTTAGGTCGCTTACCCAAAAGTCAGAACAGGCCGGCGGGACCATAGCCGGACCAGTCATTTTGAAAATGAAATTTTTTTTTTTTTTTCGATGGTAAAACTCTTAATCTTTCGCTTTCAGAACAGGCCGGCGGGACCATAGCCGGACCAGTCATTTTGACAAGAGTTTTGTTGAAACCCCATTTCCTTCATGCACGATATTTGGGATCTGACTGATCTGGCTGGATAGTTTTGATTAAAAGTGAAATTCTGGAAGTCTGGAATGGTCTGGCCAATCTGTTCTAACAAATGGAAATCGCCCTTAGTGGAAGACAAAATGAAGCTGGCTCCACGTCAGTGATATGCGGTGCATACGTAATAACCACCTAGATTTTAGGATTGCGGGTTCCTCTTGTCCCTCCTAACATCTGATGTTACTAAAACAAAGAACTGGGAACGGCTAACGAGCAAGGGCAACGAAAATGAAAATAGGAACGAGAAAGAGAATGGGTAATGAATTTACTGATAGGGCTAGGGTCTAAGATAAGTTTAGTTCCCATTTTTCATTTTCCAGTTCTCTTTGGTCGTTACTTCCCTATTCTCTTCTTCTAAAAACTGAATTGACGTAATGATACCATCACTGGGAAAAACGAAAAGCTAAGGCCCGATTCAGACGCCGCCGTAAAAGAGCAGGGTCTGAATCAATTTAATACGGCAGTTTTAATTTTTTGCGGCAAAAACGCCGAATTTAACACAGTCCGTACTCGCATTATACGTCATCGGAGCGGCAGGTGATTCATACGGGGCTCCTCTCAAGCACTGAACCTGATGTATACATTATGCATACTTTAAATTTATATATATGTGCTGCATAAAAAACGGTCCTTCTAAAAAAGCGTCATTTTTATGTAAAAAACTGCTTTTTTACAAATTGAACGGTTGTAAAAATACTGCTTATTTACAAAAATAAATTTTTTGTAAAAAAGCAACTTTTTTACGTAAAAAAAGCTGCTTTTTTACAAGTTAACTGGTTGTAAAAATACTGCTTTTTTACAAAAATATATATTTTGAGAGAAAGCTGCCTTTTTATGTAAAAATCCTGCTTTTTTACACATATAAATGTTCGTGAAAAAAAGAGTTTCATGCTCTTCCCTTAGAACATTGACAAACCCATTTATCGAAGACGGGCTGTTTTCTGTAACATGCGAAGAAGGAACGAGCAGTAATTTCATTCGTTAAACTTATTGGCCGAAGTCACACACGGCAGTAACTGCATGCTAGGCAATAATAGAATAGCTGCGTTATTCACAGTCTTATTTATAAGCAATGCCAGTCACAATCTCTTGCAGCAACCAAAGCCTTCCGTTCTTTCCTTCATTGCTACTTTTGTTCAAGCAGAAAACTGTACAGAATATTGTTCTGTATTATTTATCTATTTTCCCAAGGTTATCAGCTGCAATAATCGGTTTAACTGTCAACAAAACACTTGGCTATAACGTGAGTCATTGGTGTTTGCAAGGGCACAACACTGTTTTAAGAATTGAGCATTGCACGTGCACAGTTCTGACACTAGTCGGTATCAAGAACGACAGCAACTGTTAGACAATTTCTTGTATTATGTTGAAATGGATTTCTATCACGGGATTCATCAGGGGCACCCAACGAGAATATAGTTCAAAACCACTTAAACATAGCATTGTTAAACGTATTTTAGTATTTAAACGTTAGATATAGGCATATTTTTATCCCCTAAAAATTTTTCATCTATTCGGATTTCCTAGCTGAAAGTCTAGCGATCCGAAAATTGTAGGGATCAAAACTTACCTTTTCGAAAATTTCAGCCAGAAAAAAGGCTTCCGAAAATTCTAGGTGACCTTTTTAGGGTAAAAATCCGTTAAAAATAGGCAAATATACCATTTTTTGGATGTTCGAAAATCCTAGGAGAGGCAGGCAAGCAAGAAATTTTACAACAAATGTTTCGAAAATTCTAGATCTCAAATCGTCTTCCGAACAGATATTCCTCCGAAAATTGTCGTTGGGTGCCCCTGATTCATGCTATGTTGAAATCCATGTTGATGCATGCAAGAGTGTCATGTCTGCGTTACAACTTAAGTTTCCAGCGTGATGTAGGAACATGTTCAGTCGGCTAATGAAGCAAAAGGAAACGTTCGCCTATAGCTACAAGCGCACATACACTCGCTTATTAGTCTAATTTTTGCAATACACAGAGTAACTTGTAAGGCCATAAAAACAGCAGCCGATTTGTTTATAAGAATTAGGGACTATAAAGGCGGTCTGTAACGTACGCCAATGCGTGTTTTGTTTTAGAGATCGAGAAAAAAGCCAGAAAACACTTGTAAAGGCTGGACAACTTTAATATGAACACTAGCGGAATTCGCCAGCAACATTTCGAGTATGACCGTTTTTTTACAAAAATATATTTTGTAAAAAAGCCGTCCTTTTACAAATACATATCAGTGTAAAAAAAACAGCTTTCTTACGGTACCGTTTTTTTTACACAACATATACAATGTACACAACATGCAACGGTCTGATGGGATAATGTCATAACAAGGCTATTCACTTTCTACGCCATGTTGAATTCTTCACAGACATTTACCATTTTCACATTGCCATAATAACCTTGTTTACCTTCCAATATTTTGCATTTCCATCGTTTCCAGTTTATCCTGGGTATCTTGCAGGTTTTCCAAGGGAAATTTTAAACAAGGCTTAGGCACAAAATGTTTGCGGTAAACAAGGTGCAGTATTACTTGGACAATGTGGACAGCAAAAAGCGCTGGTGTTGCCTCGTAGATGTCTCACAGTGTAACGTATCCAAATGGATCAGACGACGAGAAGCAGAAAGGATAGTCAGAAAATGTAACCAATACTCTTTTTGTCTACTTCAGTTTCTGTTTTTGGAGAGGGGGAAGTGTGGTGGTGGTGGTTGGGGTGGGCGCTTATTTGAGGCTAGACGCCTATCAACTTTTCCTCCCTACAGGATGGGCGCTTATTGGAAATGGGCGCAAATTCGAGGTTAGGTGCTCAATCAGATAAATTCAGTATCTTCAACAAAAATGAATGTTCAAATTTCTTCTTTATGAGACAGCTTAATGTAACCGCCCAAGGCCGCGATCATGTGAACTGCAACATGATCCAAAACACAACCCGCACATAACAATTTTTGAAAGACCAACGGCCGGTTAGATCCCACGTCCATCTGCTTAGTCTATAACCGATCTAGAGCCGATACTTGATATTATTGTTGTTTTTTTGGTTTTCTGTTTAGTTGTTTGTTTGTTTGTTATTATTATTATTATTATTATTATTATTATTATATCACGCGTTGAGATTTCCTAAGACTTGTTTCATGCTTCAATGAACAGAGGTCTTTTTTGCATGAGCATGCGCGACCGCTGACTTGTCAAAGAGCACGCGACCAGTGACAGCGACTGTGCTGCATAGTAATAGAAACCAAATTGTTCACTTTGAAAGCTTGCTTGAGATTGAAATGGTAGCAGGAACTTAGGAAAGACCTTCGTTGTACAAAATAAGTAAAGATCTGTTGATTTAAAGTGGAGACTGATGCGCTGAACGAGGTGAAAGAGCAAGTTTCTCAAGGATGTCTGACACGAACATGGCTGCTTGTTGTTGTTTGTTGCTCGACTCGTGTCTTGACTCCTGTTTAAGAACCGCAAAGTTTGGCGTAGAATGCATTGCTGATGCGTAGCTATTGAGCAAAATGTTCTTTATTTAGTGTTTGTCTATAAATCGCATGTAAATCAGTTTCTCGATGCCGTAGAGGATTTCTGTCAATAATTTATTAATAGCTGATTTAGCCATACTTCGGGAGAGGATTAATAACGATCAGCGGGCGACTACCACGCCGTTTTTAGTTGGAATAGAAAGTTTTTGCCTTAAGTATGTCAACGATACAAAGTTTGTTCATAGGAAAATTGTAGAACTTCTTGTTTTTGCGTGAACTAACATTGTAACGCATCTTTTTCAGAAATTTGCTTTTAGCCAGAACTTAATTGTTCTAATGATTTTTAACTTTTGGTCGGCATCACATGTTTACTGTAGTTCTTAGGAAACCTAACCGTTTGTTTCATCAAAATCGGTCACAAGATTGGACTTTAATTTCGGTCCTATTGAATGCAGTTTTGACTGTGTCTCATTGATATTCATTTTTTTTTTATTGTTCGAGACATACAGAGTGACTACCACCAACATCTCACCAGATGACTAATCTACGTCTCGTGTGCTCTTAATTTTGTAGCTTTAAAGGGCTGGGAAAATTGTAGAACGTATATTAATTCACTGCTGAACTGAACATCGGCTTTCGCGCACTTCGAACCCACTCGCTGAAATGTGCTATGTTTTTTTTTTAATATTTCTCTTCCTTTCCCATTTCAAACAAAGAAAATTGAAAGTGTTTACTTGCATCAACAAATTTTTTTGCACTTTGTTTAGACTTTGATGAGGTCAGCGCAATCCTCCAGGCACTACATATACGCGCGCTGTTGTCCAGGTCAAGTGGGGAGATGAAATTTGATAGTAGCTAGCGTATGTTAAAGCCGGTCTACTTCGCTTTTGTTAAGACCATGTTAGAGTTTTTTTTTGCAAACTACACATTTTGTTAAATCACCAGCACATTCGCCAAGACCAACGAGCAAAATAATCGCTGTGATAGCTTTGAGACGCGCCATTTTGATGAAGGCAAACCCTGTGGTGAGCCTCCATGCATATCGCTTGTTCAGCGGTCGCGCATGCTCATGCAAAAAAGACCCCTGTTGCTGCAATGATGAACATGCTGGAATATGGTATACTTTTAAGAACATACCTGGACTTGTCGGCTGCATTGAGATAGTTGTTAAGGTACTCGATGTTGCTGTTGATGGGCTAATGACAGTTGTCATAGGTGGCGATGGCACTGCAAAATTGGAGAAAAAAGAAAGAAAATGTTAAATCATGTGAATTGCGACATGATCGAAAACACAGCCTGCATATACCATTTTTGAAAGACCAAAGGCCGGTTAGATGCCACGTCCATCTGCTTGGGGGCACGCCGGTGCTTTTCCAATTGAGCAAAACAGTCTATAACCGATCTAGAGCCGATCATTGATGTTATTGTTGTTGTTATTTGTTTGTTTTTGTTTTCTGTTTGTTTGTTTTTTATTATTCTATGATGTGTTCAGATTTCCTAAGACTTCTTTCTTGCTGCAATATGGAAAATGTTGGAATATGGTGTGGTAGCGCTTTTAAGAACATGCCTGGACTTGTCTGCTGCATTGAGGCAGTTGTTAAGGAACTCGATGATGCTGCTGAAGGGCTAGTAACAGTTGTCATAGTTGGCGATGGCACTGCATAATTGGAGAAAAAAGAGAGAAAATGTTAAATTGTTTCATTATGCGCAAAGATAGAGATACGCTTTAATGAGAGATGATAACAATTAATAAAAAGTGAAAAAATAAAAATAAAACAAATAAATAAAACAGCAAAGAAACCCTCCAGCCATTGTGGGCACAGGACCCGTTTATCGTAATTCCTGGTAATTTGAAGATCTAGGTTTAGAGAGTTTAACAAGCTATACTATCAATTGACCTCAGTTACGCTGTGTAATTAGATGACAAATTAACGGACTTGTTGCCTAGGTCCCGCGCTTTTAGCTTGTATATTTATATTTGTCTTCCACCCGAAGAGGTTCCCCCGAAACACGATAAATGTTGGTTTGATGTATCGCATTTCCTCGAATAATAGCCCGGGGGCGATTGCCATTCTCATCCTCATTATTATTAGAGACGATCATTCGAGGGAAGCGATTATTTCAGATATTGTTCACTGGAAGTCGTGCTCTAATATTTTTTGTTTTATTATCCCATTAAGTAAATTAAAAAAACAGTAAAATAAAATAAAATTATTTTTTTTGTTACCCAACTTCTTTATTTATTAAACACCTTACTATTTAAGAGTTTGATAAAATAAAGAAGTTGGCTAACAAAAAAATAATTTTATTTTATTTATACATTTGCCAAATAGAATAAATATTATAGAAAAAAAATACTAAGATTTTAATCTTCCACAATAGCAGTAATGATGTCGTGATGAACAAGTTGCTACTTTTGTGAAATTAGAAAAGCTTGCCAGGGAAAGATATGAGATAATGAATATAACATTATTGTGAAAGTACTAAACGGTATAGATGGATCCACTTTGTTCCAGCTAATCCTGACCCAAGAAAATACCTACACAGTTGACTTGCTAATGATGCTGTTGACGTCTTTAGAGCATTTGCTGCTGATGAATCTGCTGAAGATTATTTTGAAACGATTAATTAATTTGCTTTTTAAAACTCTACATATCTGTTCTTTTTTTTTTTTTAGTTTTTGTATTTCACGATGGGTCAGCCGCATGCAAAACCTAAACTATTCTTACTTCTATTGTATTTTGGTTAATTAAGGTTTGTTGCAGGGTTGTAGAACACGTTACACTTAATCCATAAAAATAGAAAGTAGAGAATAAAGAAAAGGGAAGGAAAACATAACAAAAACAAAATGGCGAAAAAACAACTCAACATATAGAGTTCATTAATATTCATTCATCCCCCAGGCTAATTTTTCATATGCAACTGACGCTTGAGGGACCACCATGTGATAACCATTTAAATTTGGATCCATTTTAACTGATCACAACATTTAAACAAGGCTAAGTTTTAATTCTTGGATTCAGTTGTAAAATCTTCTTACGAGCAACATATTAAAGCCTGCAAGGTATCCTTTCAAATCTGCCACTCGGAGCGCGCTTAAAGCTCTCGGATATCTCACGTCATTCTTTACGATGCCAAATAATGAAAAATGAAAACAAT